ACATTTTTGCAATTGTTCCAAAGAAGTTTGGTTTTTCGAAAGTTGCAAAAAATGCATGGTAAATGTTTTTATTCAAAAAACTATATAGTATTCTTTTTTACAAGACATTATTTACAAATCATAACCTAAACATTTTTGTAGTAGTGTGTCCATTTTTTTAATATTAATAGACATTTACTCAAGCTTTAACTTATACTACACTGGAATTAAAAAAATTCTAAAACATTTCATTTCAATAACCACAACATAAAATTCATATCTTTAAGTACTAATTAAAAAATATGGATCCAACCTATTGAATGCTATCTTTAAATAAGCTTTCAAACATTTTTTTGTCGTCTTTTAAATACTTTTAATCCAATCATCATCATTATAATTTTTCTTTCTAAATAATGATCTTACATTCAAAACAAACCAATATCATGTCCAATATGTAACACTTAAAAATACAACGAACAATTCCAGCGTACAATTTTACATGTATGACAATAATCCACGATGGACAATTCTCCTTGTACCACCAACGATTCTACATGCATCATGTTACATCACAACAATCAAATTTCTACAGTATTGTCTCCATTAATCTACAATAATTCACGTTTTAGTGAATATTAATTAATCATTGGTTAATTATTGGACCAAGAGAATTTCACTTAAAACATGTATTGAAATCTAATTATGCATGATATGCAAGTATTTTGCATGAAGAGGTTTTTAAATCATTTGACTCAAATACTCAATGAAGGCTAGCGTCATAAGAACATTGCATTTCACCTCATCCAAATGATGGCTTCAATCAATATATTCTCAATAATTGTATTTACAGAGCCGTTATATGAATATTGTGATAATGCAAATGGGCAATTAATTTATTTGGTCGGAGGTACATTTATTGTCGATAACACATATCATAACAAAACTTTTAATGTTACAAATGATCAACAACCTACTCTCTCTATGGAATTACTCAATGTTAATCAAATCAAAGATTAGTTGCTGAATACATTGATTGGAAACATTTGGCCTAGTGTTTCAATTTTAATGTTCTGAATTCCGATGTCCTGAATTTCAAACCAAGTTATATCATTCATAACGTGGACTAGATCGATGATTAATTCGCTATTATGTTGGATTTGATTAAGATTATCAATGAGAACCCAAATTTTATTATATAGCGAGAACATAAAATGTGAGGGAATGATGAGGAGACTGGAATTAGATTATAGTATGAGAGAAGATTTCATTTATCATTAACCTAAAAAAAAAGAATTCATATTTTTATACAAAAAGATTTCATATTATTACAAGTAACAAAAAGTGTTGGGATTTGCATCATTTTCCACTTCTCCAAAGATTCTCTTCTTTCATCTTTTAGGAAATTTCACTTTTTACCTCC